AGGATAGCATCTCTTCGAGCATTCATCGTTGCCTCGTTCATCTCCAAATCAAATATTGTGATCAATCACACAAAAAAAATTGACCCATTTACCTACATATAACAATACAGTGTAAGCACACTCGCATTAATGATCCTAGACTAAGTCGATAACACATTATGACATGAGCAGCATATTTTACGTACGTCTACGCGCCATTTTCCACCGTGGATTATCCCAAATCCAACGGCCTTTGAATAGACACGTCATCATGATTATTATTTTGGGGGAATCGAGTAAGGCAGCGTACCGAGTTTACGTCGACTCGGTCAACTCGTCCGCCCCGCCGGGTCACCGCGGTAGCCCGCGCTCCTGCCCGGCGGCGTTTACCCTTGCGCCGGTGCCGACGAGCCAGTCGAAGGGCGACCACACGGACGCAAACCTCCCCCCCGACGATCCCTCCGTGTCCACCTTCTTCGTGGAACCCTCGTTGCTGTCCCCTCTCTTCCGCGATGGGACCGTCGACGAGACCGTCCGGATGAAGAAGGAAGGCCAACGGTCGGAGATCGCCTGCCGCACGCTCCAACCCCCGCGGCTGAACCCTCCCTCTGCGCTGCCGCGGTGGCCATGATGGGAGCTCCCCTCGCTGGCGGTGATCGGGAACGCGGCGCAGCTCGCGGACCGGTGGAACCTCAGCGCCGCGAAGATCTCCCGCCGTACGTGCTTCGGCAGCCGCAGCGTGTAGCGGTCGACGTCCTCCAGCGAACCGAGCTGCCCCAGCGAGTGTCCGGTCGAGTTCCAGCGGGGCAGCTTCGACGTCGGCGGACACCGTCCCGCTCTGGCCCGCGCCTCCCGCTGCTCGCTCCCTATCCGCTCCAGTTCGATCGCCTCCTCCTCCGTCGGGGTCCTGTCCACATCGACCACGTGGTCCGGGGGCGAGTCGCAGGTCCCTGGCTCTACGGCCGCGGTAGCGGAGTCGGGCGGTGTGTCAAAATCCTCGCCGTCGCCATCAGCTTCAGCGGCTGCGACTGCGGCGGCTATGTCGGTGCGGCAGACGGGGCAGGTGATGTGGGAGGCGAGCCAGGCGTCGATGCAGTCGGGGTGGAAGACGTGGCAACAGCCGGGCAGAAGACGGAGGGCCTCGTCGTCCGCGAACTCGCTGATGCACACCGCGCACTCCAGCGTCCCCCGCCCCACCATCAGCGCCTTCGCCTCCGCGTACGCCATGGTCGGGAACGTCTCGAGAATCTCCGGGCTCAACCCCACCGGCGCCCGCCGCCGGAACGACATGGAGCCCTCCCCGGTGCCCGGCCCCTCCATGGGAATTGGGAGGCCGACGCAGTGACGGATGTAGACCGTGAAGAACGCAAGGAGGAAGAAGGAGGTGACCATGACGATGATGAGGACAATCGACGAGAGGCCGAAGCTGCTGTTGTTGACCTGGGCGTACTGGGGGTTCGGGAACGGGGGTTCGGCGCACCGAGTGATGTCGGGCAGCAACGCGAGCAGGAAGAGGACAGCCCCAATGCTTCCTCCGTCGCCGAGTCGGGCAACCGAACGGTGACGGCTCGTCGTCGCCATCGACGCAGGTGGGGTGGAAGGAAAGTTGGGTTCCGAGGAAGTCGAGCCGGCAGCTATAAATGCAACGGATGACGATAACATGATGCCATTTCCTTAAACACCGAAGCTTCAAACTGTACAAGGCATGGAATAGCATAAGTACCGGTCTTCCATGGTGGTTATTCTAAGGTAAGGGAGGTAACAAGGACATCTTGTTCTTTCAAGAGCTCTTTGTTGCTTGAGCACTAAAGTTAGGGTTTGGTGGTTTGGAGAGCAGTTGGAGAAGAAACAAATGCACACATCAAATATGTCATGCATACACATACACTGGACCAACTTGTAATCAAACAAACGTGTTTATAGTGGTCTCCAACCTGACGACCATATGCATACAATTCCAGTTTTGCCCCTCCAGACTGCGAGGAGCGGCTGTGAGGCTAACATGGGTACGAATGGAACTGTGAGGCATAATAATACGACATATGCAATGGCGTCCATACAACACAATAGGCAGAGAGAGATACATGGACGTGGGATCGACAGGCGGCGGCGGCGGCGATGATGGCAGAGGGCTTATCCCTTAAAATGTTAAATCATATTAAAAAATACTGTAACTCAATCTATATTTTTTTCGAAATTATCCCTTAAAATGTTCGATCATTTTAATTTTAACTTATTATTTATTATGGTCAATGCATGGCCACAACTTCGCACGCATAATCCTCTCCTTAAGACCACTTCAACGCCTTCCCAATTAACCCACCTTAAAATGCTGCCCGAATCTGCCGCTTCTCTCGACACCGACTGGTTCGCACAACGCAGGCATCCTCACAAACCCACGTATAAAGCCCCACCAGGCTCTATCGTCCTCCTCCCATCTTACGTACGCCTGCGTTCTTCGTTCATCAACCACGAACTACGAGGAAGTTGAGGAAGAGTCAGACATGGCTTTCGGCAAGGCAGCAATGGTGGCACTGTTGACCGTGGCGCTGGTGGCGGCGGCCTCGGCGGACCAGGTCGCGACCAGCTTTGACGACCCTGCGTCGTGCTACTGCCCCTGCATGAAGGATCAGTGCATGCGCATCGACAAAGCCACGAAGGAGGAGTGCGCCAGCGCCTGCGACAAGGGCTGCCGCGAGGCCGGCGCCGGCGGCCAGCCCAACCCTCTCGAGTTCTGCGGCTTCTGATCGCCATGAAACCCCTTCCTGCATGCGTTCGCTCAGGACTCCAAGCATCACCTCTCTCTCTCTCTCTCTCTCTCTCTCTCTCTCTCTTTGTGCTTCAGTCCTGTGGGATTATGCATAGTGACATGCCCTTGGCGCAAAGAATATACGTAGAGAGATTGAGAGATATATATGTTAATGGATTGTGATAACAAATAGATATATGGTTGTCAAGCTATTTTTTTGGGCACGATAGCTCATCCTGTCATAGAATTGAAATATGTCATCCCGTATTTTAGGATCGATGGGCTCAATTTTGTCCAAAATATTATCAGAATTATAATTATTCGGCTGTTGATTAAGAAACTGTCTTCCATTTTTTATTTCTATGTGTATTAACAGTGAAGGAGTGAGTGCGTTAAACATTGTTTCTTCCCGTTATAGAAAAGCTACAAATTTGTCATGGAGTTCTTCGAATGAAATCGAACTCTTCCTTACATATAAACTGGCTGTGGACAGATCTCGAGGCCATTTAGTATTCATTATTATCACCTATTCCTGTGGTCTGCTTCAAGTGTTACCAAGTCATGTAACATGTGTTGTGGTTGCAGCTGTGGGCTATAATTCCTATCCTTTCATCTCGCAAGGTGGTTTGCTGATATCAATGGACACCAGGAGACAGCTTCAAGAATTCCTGATACCAAAAGAGAAGCTACCTGAAGCGTAGACATATATAATCTTATAATCCACACAGTTCTCCATCTGATGTCATGGGGGAAGAGAGAGAGAGAGAGAGAGAGAGAGAGAGAGAGAGACTTGTGGAAGCAGTCTTCTTCAAGCTGCTTGGCCCTTAAGTTAATGGAAATGATGAAGTTGATTGAAATCTCACTGGATTTTTGAGGTCATGTAGGGTCAATCAACCTTAGAATATTAATTCAGCCTTCGAATATTAATTCAGCACAGAAGTATGCCCTTCAGAGAATTATGTTCTTATTAATATATATATGGTTCAAAGGTATGGCGTATGCTCTTATTAATATATATATTGATTGGATTACGAAGTATGCTTTTGGATCAGATAATTTTTTTTAAATAGCATCAAAAGGTATACAATTCTGATCTTATTCTATTGTTATTTAATTTCAATTTATGGTGTCAAAGTTTTTTACGTAATAATAACATAATTATAATTTGTATAGTAGTGTTTTGAAATCAAATATCTTAGATCATAAAAGTATATCCTGTATTTAGATCTGTTTATTAACACACTTCGTTTGATAAAATGTATTATTCAATTTTGAATGTACGATGCTTGAATGATCTATCTGTGTTATCGATCTGCTTTCCTATTTCATCCATCTTGTTACTTGCTTGTGAGTGATGTAAGGTTCCTTGTCTTACACTGGCAGAGCCGGGAACAACATGCTGCCCATGTTTGATCAATGGGCAACTATTGACAGGTTATTGTTGGTGATAACACTATTAAGAGTGACGACCTCCGTTGGTTGCCAACCATAGGCTTGGACTGGTGGCTAATGTAGTCAACAACTATTCTCTGTAGTAGCCTAGATAGTGGAAGTGCTACGATTACATCGTTGCATATGGTGATTGTCACTGTGGATAGTGACTTCCTTGGGTGGCATTGCTGCTAACTATGGTAGCAAAATTTGGCCACAAGCGATGTTGCACACGTATCAGTGCCATTATGTGCAGTAGCACAGGATGGCAACAACCCTATTAGGTTCTACCTTGATCGATGATTATATAGCAAACATACCATGAGGGAAGGCATAAGTTGTGGTGATATTTATTGGCCACGATCGGCATCAACGACAATGCTAGAGGTCATGATTTAAAATGGTTATGCAATAAATATAAAGGAACACCAATCGGCCATGAACATTGGTGTTGCCAATGTGGGTCGCCCAACGATTGTGTGATGGTTAAATGTTTCATAGCAACAGTGGACGATGGCCCCGTGAAGGAGTTGCCGCTGTAAGGATGTGCGGCCGATAAAGACTCATGCATTGGTGATAGCCATGCATGTGGGAATGGAAAGTCGATGAAGGATTGACTGTGAATGACGATCGACGGGCAATAGTTATATTGCATTGTCGAATAACATTGGCCGTTGATGAAAGATCGATTGATCATCGAGATTGTTTAGGCCAACAATGTATTAAGTAGAGGACAATTGCTCGGTAGTGGTAGCCATAGGCCTCATGCGGCAAAGTCTATGGTGAGAAAGAGAAAAGGGCTTAGGGTTTTTTCACCTTTTAAAAGGTTCTTTTTTCCTTTTAAATTCTTTTAATTTCAATTGCTATCCACTTGATAGATCTACCCATCAAAAAATAGATATTTTAAATATATATATATATCTGATAAAATTATAGTTTTACCCTTCACAAAATTAAGTATTTACAACTTATGTCCTCAACTATAGAATTGACTAATTTGACCTACCTTAATCAAATTTTGATCAAAGCTCAGTTTTAACCCATTTTTTATTAATCTATTTTTAAATAATATTTTTTTATTAAACCTAATTTTGATTGGTTTAATTGGGTTAACTGTTGGGTCTAATATGGATAACCTAATTTGGGTTCGATTTTGGGATGTCTAATTAAATAAGATCGATTAGCCCATTTAAGTCATTTACATTATTAAAAATATATAAATTATGATTTATTTTATAGTTTTCTCATTTGACATATTGATAAATTTTGTGTTTATAATATTTAAATTTTAATTATTATTCTTGGATATTTATGTAGTTATTCATATGCATATGTTTTAAATTATGAAATAATATTAATTTTTGTATAAAGGCATAATCTATATTTTATTATGATTATAGTTATTATATGAGGTTTCTTTATATTGATTAATATTCAATAATTACTATAATTATTATATTATTATTATTAAATTATTTCTGTATAAATTAGATTAATAAATATTTAGTGAATATTATTTATAACTTATATCCCTAAGTTTTATCTGACTAGTAGCTACTAAGGTTGTTTATGATTATAGACTTATGAGATATAAATTATAATAAATATTTTATCATTTATAAGATATTTTAAACTATATTTTATATTATTGTATTATTTTTATAGTGGCTTAGATCAATAACTTATAAATTTTTTAAATAATTAGTCCTAAATAATATTTAAAAATATAATATTTATAATGATATACATAATTATGAGATTCAAATAATTTTAAAGAAGAATCTACTTTGAATAATTATGTGATAGGATAGGATAATATATCATTGCTATTTATGATTATAAATTTAAATATAATAATACTATTCCATAAAGATGACATTAGTCATTCGTAAATAATTTTGAGTGAACAATGAATATATTAATATTTCACCCAAAGGTGAAATATGAATGATATATAGTCTATAAACTCAAAGTATTAGTGTTGTTTTCTATTTTAGAATAATACTTCTTTCCATATATTCTCATGCATATGTTTCTCTATACTCTTTGAATCAAATTATTCAAAATAATTAAAGCATGTATAGTTCACACATTGTATATTAGATCTTGACCTAGCATTACTTGTTGAAAGACTTATAGACTTGATTTATAAAAGTACCATAAAATAAATTAATAAAATAAATACTTGAGAAAGATTTTTAATAGGCTTAGTCTAATGTTTATAAAAATGATAATTATAAATAACATAAAGACTTCATTATTATTTGTGACATACTTTAAAGCTACAAATTAAACTTTATGGTTATGAAATTCCATATCAGGACTTCATGTGATTGACTTAATTACAAAGCTACTAAAGATATTTTATGGTAACACTGTAATATTTTTCATCTTTAAGAATTTCAAGTACTCTAATATTCTAAGCATATCGAGATAAAATAGTAGTGGTTAAAGAAAAAGTTCATAAACAATAAATGTTAATTCAGAACCTGAGCATTACTTTGATAATTACTGATCCATTTACTAAATATTTATCACCTAAAATATTTAAATAATATAATCTTAGAATGAGACTTTTAAGTAATTCATAAAGGATATGGTGTTGTATAAATCGATATTGTTATTAACATTTTTTTCTTTTCTTACTTAATTACAATTATTTTTTATCTACTATTATTTTTATATTTATGTATATACATATTATAACTTAACATGATAACAAGATTATTTTGACAAGACAAATTATAAGAAGTCATTATGAACTATATTAGGAAAAACTAATAGCGTTTTAGTACATAGAAGGAAGTACAATATTAATGATATTCAACTATTATGACGTACATTGATAGTTGGACTTAATATAATATTATTATATTTATTAAACTTATTAATTTATTTTATAAAATTCTTGGTCACATGTAAAATATTTTTTAAAATTTTTAGAATTTAATGAAGTAAAATTATTTTTAAATAAAATTTTATTTTACTTATTTTAATTTTGAATTCTTTTTATATCCTACCAATTAATGGATTAAGTGGGAGAATATTAGATTTTCTAATCTTTGAGTATGATATATTATATATATGATTGAATTATAAGTATGGTTATAACAAGTCTACTTATAATAAAATTTCATAGGATATTATCTTAATGAAAGAGACTTCTCTAAATATATATATTCTAGACTCTATTTTTGCTTATAAATAAAAAAACTTTATACAGATTATATACAATATAAGATTTATTTTTAAAATCTCTCTTCTATTGTTGGCTTTGTGAAAGATAGGAAGATAGAAGAATAGTCTAGTTCATCATGTAGATCTGTATTGTTGTTGATTGCTGATTGAATTACAAAGTGTGTTTTCGAAACAAGTAAATATTTTTTGAATGACATTAAAAGGTGTACGATCTTAATTTATTATTATGTTATCATATTCTTGATATATTATTACTTAATTTTAATTATTGACATCAAAATTTTATTATATAATAATAATATAATTATAACTTTTATGTTTACACGGGATGATTTGATTATCGTCGGAACACCTTACCTCGATCCTCAGCTCGTTGTTGATGATAATGTTGTGTGTTGAAGGGGGTTTTGATGCTTGTTCTTGTATTGTATTGTCTGGACAAGCGCACGCACGTGTATATAGTTTTGCATGTTTTCAGAATCTATAAATCATTGAGAAAATGGTAACTTAATTGAATCTTTAATCCAAATCCATCCAATAAAGCTAAATAGATACCGATAAGCATCCAATAAGACAAGAATTAGCCACGTTCGGTGACGTGGTTGGATACACGATTTCAGGAGGACGTGTCGACCATTGTAAAGTACGCGCGTTACACGTGACAAGTTGTATTACGCACATTTAACCCTC